GATTTATTTCTGAGTTACAGGCCCTGCCCAGTCAAAATGGGTTCACGGCATTAAATGTTTAGGTGTATTAGCACTATGCGGAACGCAATAAAAACTACAAGACAAAAAGGAAAAATCAGTTTTATCTTCATGGCATATTGATATCTACGTCAGTATATAAAAATTGCCGATATAACCGTATACAACATAACATCACAAAGAGCACATAAAAAACTTGTAGAACATACCTTTGGAAAAGAACATACTTATTACTTAGAACGTGCATGCTATTGCATAGGACAGACAAGGATTAGCAAACATCCAGTGTAGAATTTTGTAATTTTCTCATGACTAGAAAGCTCCAAATACCACCTTTTAAAACACCATTACACTCTCCAATCACCTTACAAAAACACCATTCATACTCTCCAAAAACACCTTAACAGTCTCCAACTACCATTTAAAACACCATTAATCTCTCCAATAACCTTACAAAAACACCATTCATAGTCTCCTATCACCTTACAAAAACACCATTCGCACTCCCTAATCACCTTACTAAAACACCATAACAGTCTCCAAACACCATTAAAAACACCATTACACTTTCCAATCACCTTACCAAAACACCATCACACTCCCTAATCACCTTACCAAAACTCCATTCACACTCCCTAATCACCTTACTAAAACACCATAACAGTCTCCAACCACCATTTAAAACACCATTACACTCTCCAATCACCTTACCAAAACACCATTCACACTCTCCTGTACACGATTCCTGCTTACTCGTACCACCTCATTATAAACGACCGTAGTCGTAAGTCGACCCTCCGTTAATCCTCCTTTATCCCCGAGGATTACTCCAACACTCCCCAGCTGGTTGAGATTTGCAGACGGCACCAGAGTCTGGCCTCTTAGATGTCACTCACCTTTGATTACCGTAGACATGACATCTCTGACATGTAGATATGCCAACACACCCCCATCCCACCCTCCCCCACACCTCATTCCTTCTCCGAAGTTGGTTGGTCTGTTAAGACAGAGAAGCGAATATTTTCTTGAACCGGTCTTATAATCGGAATTATAACCGATTCCGGCCTTATAACCGGTCTAATAGCCGGTCAAATAACCGGTATTATAAGAGGTCTAAAAAAGCGGCCTTTCTTTCAAGGCGTAATTTATCGAAATTCACACGTCTTAAAACCCCCCATAAAAACAACAAATCAATGTAGCAAAATACACAACATTTGTATATGTTTATTTCACACACTTATAGTGTATGTTAAAAAAAATAATTATGAGTAACATAAGGTTTCTCTTAGAGACATATGTTGAGGGCGTATGTTTTAAAGACACAGTAAAAAGGGGGAAAGGGGTGAGGGGGTTGTAGGTTGTCCGTCAAGGAACTAATTGCCAACACATCTCCCACTCTCAAAGACAGCGTCGTGGTACCGGAGAGAGGATTAACGCTGATTCTTTCTGATCTCACTCGGGGTTATCAAATCTGGCGGTGAATTCAATTATGACGAGATTTACAGGAGGGGAGAGGGGTGTGTGAGAACAGGAGAGTTGGGTGGGGGAGGGGGGACCAGGGCGGGTGTTGGTGGAGTTGAAACAGACGTGGGGGAGTGGGGGTTGACGGATTACAGACTGGCAGTGTGCTGGGTCGGCGTGTTTGTCAGTTGCCTGGTTGGTGTGTAGTTTGGTAGTGTGTCGATGGTCTTGTAGTGTGCTGATAGTAACACACTCATCTGTGTGTTCAGTCAAATTCCAGTGTACACAGACACTAAACCTTGTGTCCGCCCCCTGCTAGTGTGTTACGTTAAACTCCAGAATGCAATCAACTTTACAGCGTAACTGTCATCTTGAAGTGAGAAAGTCACTTATTATAATTACATGACTGTATGCCACTCATTGTGTAGTGTGTGAAGTCATTACATTAGCGTGTGTAGGGAGATAGCAGAACGCTAGTGTCCACCTGCTCCCTCAGACAATGACCCACCCAGGCATCTCGGCGCCCGGGGGTGGACCTTTTGATTTCCCCACCCCCTGTTTAGTAACATTACTGTGGGCTATCTCGCGACGTGTCGGCTTCACCCCTAAGCAACACGGTTATAATCAACTTATTAACATATTCCTATTATCTAGGGGCCATCCTTTTATCAATTTAGCTCAAACAATTTTAACCTTATAGAAATAGATTTTGTATTGAATTTGTTTTCATGTTCTAAATGACTGTGTGGTATTTCGTGAGTTAGGTATCTTTTTTGTTTATATTTTTTTATAAGCTTTAACTCACATGTTAAAATAGGTAAACTAAAAAGCTGGTTTTTAAATTGTTTATTCATGCTCTCCCCCTCACCCCCGCTCTCCCTCTTTAGATAGAACAAGAAAGAAAATCACCAAAAAAAAAAACGAACTTCAAAAAGCATGTTCTGCCCTGTAAAATATCTAATTTAAAAAAAAAATATGGTTATAACCCGGATATAGTTAGGTAAACAATCATCAAGGGAAGCAACTCCTATCTCAGTTCCGTCCCTTTTCCTGGGGAACTCTTTTGTTTACCGGCCTGACAAATAGGAGCGAACAAAGCACAGTCCAAGAGAGATGGAGATTCCTAGACGGGGAACCTAATCCATCTTGTTCCGTTGAGCTTCTAGATTTGCGCTCTGATTAGCATTGTTCCTCTCAGTCAGTGGGGGGGGGGTGGGGGTGAGGGGAGGGGGGTGTAGGGGGATGGATTGATAGCTACATCTGATGGTATCACAAGTAGGAGATGGCTGAGACACAAAAAATTGATCCGTGAGCATTTCCGGAATGTTGGTGAGCGATCGTGTATGTTGCTGTTGCAGTGGGCGTATGTGTTGGTATGTGCAGTGAGTATATGTGTTGATGTGTGTAGTGGGTATGAGTGTTGGTGTATGTAGTGGGCATATGGTGTGTGCAGTGAGTATGTTGATGTGTGCAGTGCCGGCGTGTGTTGGTGTATGCTATGATTCACGTTATATATAATGCGACAACGTGTGTTACCGAATGTTACACACTCATGCACCGATTTGTACTCTGGTTTCAAAATGAATGACATGGCCCAAAACGCACCAGAATTTCGATGAATTATTAATTCCTCCTGCTGTTCCATTGCCCTGTACAACCTTAGTGTGTTTGTTTTTTTTGTCATTTCCCTCCTAAAGTTAACTTTTGTGATTTTAAAACTTTGCTTTTATTCATTTCCCCTTAAACTTTACATTTTGACGTTTCCCTATAAACTTTACATTTTGCCATTTCCTCTTAAACTTTACAATTTGACATTTTCCTTTAAAGTTTACATTTTGCCATTTCCTCTTAAAGTTTACATTTTGTCATTTCCTCTTAAAGTTTACATTTTGTGATTTTCCTTTAAACTTTATATTTTGACATTTCCTCTTATACTTTACATTTTGCTATTTCCTCTTAAAGTTTACTTTCTGTCATGTTGCCCCTCTCTAATCACCCTTCTTGCATGGGCCCATAAACACACACGGAACTCATTACCTCCCTTTAGTAGACTCTGTTTACTTCCCCTGGTCGTCATAGACGCGATCGCCTCCTCTTGATATCATCCGTGACCTTTTCTATCCGCCCCAGAATCCTCTATTCTCCGCCATCTTGATGAGCTTAAACTTCGACATCCGCTGTGGATTCTATTCTGGCTGTGTCCCTAGCTAACATCAACAAACGCTGGATCTGTCAATGTTTAATTATATCCTATAGTTTAGCTATCAGTTTCCTGGAATAATTATTTTCTTATATAACGGATTCAGGTACGCTTTGCAAGGACATCTCTAATATATCGGGAAGATTTAGAAAAGGTTATAGGTACAAAGCTGGAGAAGGCGTGGCCTGGCGTTAGAGCGCTTTGGTGCTAACATGAAAGTCTCGAGTTCGAATCCGGTCATTAGATCGTTTCAGAGTTTATTTATCTCTAATATAGTGCTGACCACACTATCCCGAGTTCACGGAAAAAGGTGAACTCTTTTTCACTAGCCCCATGGACCGTCAGCTTTGAAAAAGGAACTTTATAGGTATAAGGCCATATACCCCAACCATGTTTTGATTTGATAACCCTCATTTAAAATAGAAACCAATGCTTTTGTAACAGCCATGGGTATCTTAGCTCCAATTCTCCCCCTTATCTCAAACAATGAATTATATTACCAAGACAGACATCAACATGTGCAATCTATTTCACCAACATAATCGACATCCAACCGTCGCGACCCCCATCTCCCAAGGGGTCATTCTTGAAGCCCAACCCCCTTGGGTCAGTCTTGAAGTGTTATGGTAAACACGACCGACCTTTAGTTCTTAGACGTGTGCACCTGACTGCTAAAGGTCACATCCGGTGTTGGGGCCAGCAGTAGAACCATCTACTGAGGGCTGAAACCCGAGGCCTTGAAGTCTAGAAGGTTCCATAGAGCCAGACGGGGTAGTTTTTCTGTCTACATGTCTGATGACTTGTGGGTACCGTCGGCGTGGATGAAAGTCTGAAACTAGACGGTTCTCATTTTTTTACAAGCCTTGAACTATAAGCCATCAAATAATCAATAGATTGGGTACCTTTCATAGTCATAACTCAATGTGAGCGGGGAGTTACCTGCTATTTTTAAAGATAGAATTTTTTTAAAAGTTGTTGAGAATGTTGTATCTTCTTCTTCTGCGTTCTTAATTTAGTTTATGGTGGAGGATTTAAACAAGTTCAACTTCGGGCCCCATACATTTTCCCTTATGTTGAACGTGGAAATAAATGATACTCTGGGTTCTTTATAAATCTTTATAACTCACGATGTTGTTATAAAAAAAAGTACAAAAAATTAAATTATAACGAAGTCGTTAAAAATAGTTTCTTATTTCTTATTTTGTTTGCATGTATAATGGTTCAAACATCCTTACATTTTTCTTGAACCTGTTCTTTAGAAAAAAAAATCAGCTCCATCTAAAGTAAAACTTAAGTTTGACTTGTTCTTTCTCCTCTACAGCTGAACTCTTCGCAAGGGTCAGGGACGACAGTGGAGCAATCTGATTGGTCAAAAGCTCTGAGACTTCACCAGGATTTGCTGAAGCTCCATGGCGTAGATGCAGCGGTAGGTAACTCTTTCTATAACACAAACATTAAACTGGTGTTATCTACCCTTGTGCTGGTTGACACTTAAATGCAGCTGGTCTATTAGATTAGTATTAGTAATCCTAACTATCCCAAACTGCTTGATTAGATATTCTGATACGTGTAACTTTGAGAGATTAGTATTGGGAAAAATGAGAATTATGTTTTCAGAATTCGACAATAACTTTTAAAATTTTACAAGCATTAATATCGTACAGCTACTATTTAACCCCTTTTTAGCTAAAGAAAGTCTTACAAAAACATGAAATTTGTGGTGTTGCCAGTAAGCCTATACGAATGAAGAGTCTGTGAATCAATCCGCTACTTGTGCGACATCCCATCCCTCCCGATACAAATTAGTTCATTTATTTGTTGTCAAATGTGAGATAAATAACCTTAACTAATCAGTAGCGTTAAAAAATATCTTGGTCTGACCAGTATTTGAACCCAGAACCGTTGTATCAATCCTCACGCCTTGTCGACGTTTAACGTGGGAAATCTAAACCTGTATCTGAAATGACACGTGGCCGTCGGACCAGAAATCCCATATTCCCTAGCGCCCATTACGTCATCGCTTCCATCTCACTGCTCTCACCCCCCCCCCACCCCTCTCCCCACCATCACCCGTACCCCAGTTATCACGAGAAACAAAATGGAATTTCCGGGATGCTCGCCCTTTGTTTCCCTTTTTACCTCCCTTACCCAGTGATCAGCCCCCTTCCCCATATTTTTTCAATCACCCAAACTTTAGGAGTCCATTAAAAATTCACCCCCGCCCCGCCCCCATGTTCGCACGCCTCCGCCCCCACGAGCCGTTGAAATCTAAGCTCCATGCTGTAATCAACTAGGATGCATAATTAAATTTCCTAACGGCGGTGACGTTTCGCAGGCTCTCCCTGGAATTATAACGCGGCGACGATGTTGCCCAGGCGACGAAGAAATATAATCGCGAAATTTCATTGCAATGAATTTTGACGTCATTGAACAAAAAAATGTCGTTACTGCGTTTGAGGTAATTTAATTAAAGCCCAATGCATTTTCAATTTCTACTTTAAAAAAATCTCACGTCATTGTTAGAAAATTTAACTTCTGATCACGCGTACCACTCTAAGATGGCAGAAGATACATGAAGTCCGCTGTGTTCTGTTTAATGGATGAAATAAGCGAGTATACCAATATAAAGCATCTTTCGAACCTGGCGCTTCACTGGTCAGGTGAAGTAGAGTACATCTGTTTCAGTGACCTTCGCATATAAAGGGTACTATGACCAGCACTATACCCGGTCAACTACTTTCCTTAACATGAGTCAGGCACCCATCAGAGCTGAGTTGACTTAGGGACGTTATGATGACTCTAGCCCAAGACCTGAAAACAAGACTTACGGATTAGCATTCGTACGCCCTACCATCCGACCACGCCGTCCTATATTAGGATACTTAGATATTTTTTTCAAAACATCATACAAAATAATTACGTAAAGACTTAATGCAAGGCGCAAATATTGAGTTTACTCAAATAGTTTGTCTATGAAAATATTTCTAACCACACATGGGTATAATTAAAAACAACTTATCCTATTTAAATAGACTCACTAAATAGATCACTTGCTACGTAATGGTCATCTATAACTCTATTTCGCAAGTTCTTATTTTTTTCTATTGCAATTGGACATCAATAGGTCTCAAACCTTTCTAATCTAAAAGGACGTCAATAGATCTTAAATCTGCCTCAACAGGCATCAAATCTGCCTTGAGCAAATTAACATCGGTAAAGCTCAAATGAACTTCAATTAGTCCCAAATCTTCCCCGGAAAAAATGAACATCAATGCCTTTATAATGTATTATCATCGAATGAACGTCATTTGCCTCGAAACGTCTCAATTCAGTATGTCCCTAAATTGTCCCATATCGAATGAACGTCAATACGTCCGCGGTCCTCACGTATCGCCTTAAAACCATCGTATGCCTTGAATAAGAAATCCAATGCACATTTCCAGTTAAACTGTTTGTGCGTCTTTTATTCATTACCCTGGCACCCAAAAGCGCCCCCACCCCCGGGGACAACAACGGCCCGTGCACCCATTCCCTTGATTAAAACCCGTGGAGGTCCAACGAATTCATCACCGGCACCAAATTGAAATCTGAAGTGACCGGTTAATCCAATAAGCGCATTGATCCACCGTCCATGTCGCGGCTAATCGTGCTCACCCTCATCCCCCTAGGACCGCGCATCATTGTTTGCTCACTGCGCGTGCGTCGATGCACTCACGTTCCCGTGCACGTTGGGAAAACCGGAAATCACGAAGGTGTCCTGTAAGTTAAGTGTCTTTAATTGTCAGGTTTATTTATAGCGCTTTTTCATTTTATGGTACTAACTGTATTATTTCTGGGACTTTTGCTTCGTGAGGTATCTAACTATTTCCTATATCAGTAAAGTGTATCGATTCTTAACTAATAGAATAGTACCTCAACCCTAACCTTGGCATTAACCTGTCATTATTTACTTTTCTGTTTCAATCTCTACCCTATTTTTAATTCATTTATTAGCATTGAAAGTCTCGATTTTCTAATCTAATCGTGGAAGGTAAAAAAAATAATTGTAACCGGTACCGCATTTAACGGAAAAGTATTTGATTTTCTTTGTTCTAGCATATACCGGCACAGCTGTGAATTACGTACTCCAATTTTTTTAAAAAAAGGTAAAGGAAATTTCCAGTTAGCGTGGGAATTGATGCGGTCTACTTCACATGAGGTCATCAGTGTTTGGGTGAAACGTCACGACGCACCGCTACGATTCCCTGCACCCCTCCCCCATCCAATGGATGGCGTCTTTAGATTACGTGTCATCCCAGCAGTCAGCCATATACAGATGACAAAGTGGATTGCTTATTTCATAACACATCACTGCATCACTTCCCTTGTTTTTAACTCCGCGGTGAATTACCTCCCCGCTTTTTAAATAATACTCCAGCGGGAGTTTCCGTTTTGGTTTCGCTTTCATCCCCTGCTAGTTCCTGTTTAGCCCAAGTTGGTGCATCAGAGGGGTTTCGTTTTGTTTACTTTCTGTGTCCTATTCCCAGCGTGAGTCTTGCCTTGACAAGTTTCAGCTGTTTACCTTTCATCGAGAAATCTTTCGGAGGTTTTCATAAGAAGTTTCAATACCGTGCTAAACTTTTGTACAAAGTCTAATACTTTGAATCTTATCGATACTACTAACTGTATCGTCCAGATTTTTTCTTCTTTTTCTTCCTCTTAATTGGAAGAGATTCTCTTCAACACTATCAAGTATTAAGCAGTGGCGTAGGATCGTCTCAAGGGGGGGGGGTTCCAATTTTTACCCGGGGAAAAAACTTTCGATTTGCACCCCCCCCCCCTCAAACTTTCGATTTGCACCCCCCCTCAAACTTTCGATTAGCACCCCCCCCTCAAACTTTCGATTTGCACCCCCCCTCCTCAAACTTTCGATTTGCTTTCCCCCCCCCCCCCCGTCAAACTTTCGATTTGCACCCCCTCATACTTATATATATATATATACCGAGGGGTCTATTGGGGGGGTTATGACCCCCTAATCCCCCCCCCCCTGCCTACGCCACTGGTATTAAGTGTCATCTTGTTATGCACCATATAGACCGTTGACTCCGATTTCAGCCTGCTTTTCTTTTGGATTTGCTTCCATAGCCTTTGTCCAACCAAGAACAAACTACAAGGCAGTAGTTGTTTGATTTTGCAGTTGTCTCTCCTAGATAAGTTGCTTTCCCTAGCTATTCGAGCATCATCTGCCCGAGGGTTCGAACTCGGAACTTCTCCGTTCAACCATGAGCTTAACCGACCCGACCACGCCGACCTCCAAATATTTCATAACGATACTACTGACTTTTGTATAGAGTCTCAGTCTTTGTATCGATACTACACATTTCGGTCCAGGCTTAGAGCTTTGTATCGAACCTCTCATTTTGTAATCGAATATCAGACCTTTGTAACGATTCTCAGCCTTGTATCGAGTTTTGACTTTTAAATAATAAAAAAAAAAAACAGAATATTATTGTCTTTAGAAGATACGGTTTTTGACCCTAAGAAAAAAAAAACGCCAGGGCATATATTTGTTCTAAATTGGGCATGCGCACATGAGGATTTTTAACCGGATGTCATAGCGATTATCCATTTTAAAGATTATCAAGCATTAAAAATAATAGATACATTAAATAAATTGTTATTTATCAACACAAATGAATATTATATTTACAAAAAAATGATAATTGCATATCCCTTTTTTTCTCGACAGTTCTTAATATCAGATAAATGGAAAATTTATTTTATAATAAAAATCGATCGTCCATCTAAAAACTCCCCCCCCCCCCCCCCCCCCCCACCAAAAAAAAAGTTTAACCAAATCTGATAAATATCTTCACCCTCTCATCCCGCCGTTCAGCTAATCAAACGAGATGGATTAAAAACTACGGCGGGCCCATCTCGAAAAATGACTCTTGTAATAAAGTTTGTCCAAGTGCATTTGTCCACCATCCACCGCTCACACACGCGAAGGGGTGAGCAACTCTGGCACCCATGAGCATGGAGTGAGTGAGGAAGAAAAAAAAATCGGTTTTTGAACGCGCAGATGATAAAATGTCGGCTCGCTTTAATCGAAATATGCTCCTTGGAGCGTCCATTTTTTTTCTCTCTCCAAGGTTAATATTGACTGTGATGGGACCTTGTCAAAACATAGAGACAAGATGATGAAATTATGAGCAAGAGAATCCGATAAAAGCTGGGTGGGGGAGGGAGAAATTAGAAAAAAGTTTTTAAATTTTTTTAATTTGATTTGATTGTGTGTGTGCACTCATCAGTTCGTTGATGGGTGCTCCCTCGTGCGCGTCTTTTTGTGCGCGCGGGGAATTTAATGAAGATGGGACATGTGTGATTAGGGAAATGGTTTGAGTTGCAGTTGAACCGGCAACTGGTTGGGGAGGTGGTGACGTGAGAGATGATGTGGTTACCTGGTTAGGTTGGGTTGGGTTGAGTTGGGTTGGGTTGGGTTGGGGTAGGGTAGGTGAGGTTAGTTTAGGTTAGTTTAGGTTAGTTTAGGTTAGGTTAGGTTAGGTTAGGTTAGGTTAGGTTAGGTTAGGTTAGGTTAGGTTAGGTTAGGTTAGGTTAGGTTAGGTTAGGTTAGGTTAGGTTAGGTTAGGTTAGGCTAGGTTAGGCTAGGTTAGGTTAGGCTAGGAAAGGCTGGGTTAGGTTACGTTAGCTTAGGTTAGGTTATGTTTTGGGTATTTACTAACTGGCCGATTTGAAATTTATGCAAAAAACATTCATCAATCATATATTTGATTTTTAAAAAATCTTTAAAAAAAATTAACTAAGTTAATTCCTGCGTGCAATTTATAAAAAGAACCCACTTTCATTTTTTTTAAATCGTGCACATTAGCTAATCAATAATTATATATTTTTTTTCTTTCTAGTTTCTAATGCAGGCGTCAAAAGGAGATGACGTCACGAGCGATGGATCTGGCGAGAGTACCACATGTGACAGTGGGCGTGGCGGAAGTGAAGAGGAGAACGGAAGCCACGGGAGGGCGTCGCCCGTTAATAAGGGTAATCAATACATTACATTTGTGGCGGCAGGCGAGAGACGGCATTTGTTCGGCTGCTCACTCTCAGCGCGCGTGATTAATCACGTGATGTTTTAAAAATAGATTCGGGAACATAAATTAAAGTTTAGAGGAGTTAAATACTTGAAAAGGGGGGTGGAGGGGTTTCAACGATATTAGACTTGTATATATTAGAATAAGAACGTCTCTGAGCCCAATCAAGCTCTGATGGGTACCTTACTCACGTTAGGGAAATAAAGTCGGCTGGGCATAGTGCTGACCATATTATCCCCCCTGTATGACGAGGTCATTCAAACAGGTAAACTCTACTGCCCCATGTGTCTTGGGCACAAACGGGAAATGATGATGATATTAGAACACGGGTAATATAATAGTGAGTTCGAAACTGTCAAATATACTAGTATCTCTTATATATATATATATATATATATATATATATATATATATATATATATATATATATATATATATTAGTATTATTACATTTAATTTAGTATCTAGTCGATGTCGTAATCAAATAGTACAAGCTATAATATGACACGATAAGCCTACTTCAAATGCTTCAGTTTGTATTCTGTCTTATCATGTCGAGTGTATTTAAATTACCATATGTTTTTTTTTTTTCTCTCCAGATATTTCTCTCTTCAACAACCTGAACAACCCCCCTCGACCACTCCGCCAACCCTCTGGTCCAAGGGTTGCCAACATTCCACGCTCGGGACTTCCCCTGGCCTTGACCCGCCAGCAAGGTCAACCCCACGAGCTCAAGTCCCCCTCCCAGTCCAGCCGCTGCGGGGTCGGGCCCGTCAAACACGTGTCCTTCCGGGAAGATTTCCGTGGCGATTGGCCGGAGCTCCTTCCGCCCCAGGCCCGCGTCCAGCCAGTGTCCGGCGAAAGATGGGGATCTACATTCGGAGTGGACGTCCACAAAGGCAATCTTCGCGGGGACCTCAACGTCAACATCGACCACAGCTTCGACACCGCGGACGACGGCAACAGCACCACCACCAGCGGGAGCTACACGGTCGATGACCTCTCACCCCGGGGAATCAATCTACACAGTTATCTCCCCGAGCAGGCCGTGGTCTGATGGAACCGGAAGTGCGTCCATCTCGCGGGGGAAACCCTCGTGGTCAACATCAAAGTTAACGCCTCGTTTTGAATACAATGGTGGGAGTTTGTTTCACGTGGCTTTTGTTTAATCGTGACACTTGCTAAACGTGACAAGCGTTTAACGTGGCAGTTAAACGTTCAACGTGACAAGCGTTTAACGTGACATTTATTCGTTCAACAAAAACATCTGTTCAAAGTAAAAGCTTCTTGTAATGACAGCAGCATTTGTAGAAATATAGGAGAATGCTAAAGCTCGTATAGCTAGTCAAAAATGCCACATGTACTAAAAGTAATCGAGAAATCAATATTGACTATTGATTACTTGAATTGAACTGGGATTTAATTCTCAAGCGTGAAGCAGAGAAACTGGGATTAAATTCTCAAGAATACAGCGGAGAGAGGACACATCTGTTGTTCGGGCTATTCAACGCACACAATCATCTAAACACAAAGATCTCGTGTTCTCCCAGGTATTTGAACTCAGTCCGCAGTGAACTGAACTACCTCGGATATCTAACCCACTACCGCTATCGCCACCATCTCAACCAAAATCACCATATCTACTTTGCAATCAAATTATGCAAAATAAAAAATCAAAAGATATACATTTTAAATTTATTAGTTTTGTGTTTTTAATACTTACTACACCTCAAGTAAGTTTTATGTCAACTAAACTTTATACAATTTATGTCGGAAATGTGGTCGGGAATTGTTCCTAAGATTTCCGATGGACTGTAGTTCCCAATACGACTCAAATACAGGAAATTATCGACAAATCAACTTTATGAAAGTCAATTAAAAAGATGTAAACAAGATAGGCCAAATTTTGTAAAAATGGGCTGCTGAAAACATCGCACGCCTTGGGTAAATAAATTGTTAATATCGTAAATACACCACGATGTACGACCTATTGCTGGTATATTTTATCCTTTGGCGTGTTGTCCATTTAAATTGTCTAAAAAATCAAATATTGTAATATACTGATCATTCACAAACATGTATATCTAAGCTAACGATGTTTTGCCATTAAATCGTTTAGCTATACAGAATTGATGTCGAGACGTTAAAGCAAAAAATACATGTATTAGATTCTATATCCCAAGTGTGAAAATGTATAAAAAAAAAACCTTGACCATACTTAATAAAATTACAATACTTTATTTATAAACCCTAATAAATCTGCAAAGTCGAGTGATATCGAGCTAAATTAAATCTTTATTTTTCGTTAAATTCTAAAAACAACGAACTTGTTTCAGCAAAAATTCTTAGTTTCAAAACTATTTTCCCCGGAAAGTTTACTTGAAAAAAAAATGTGAAGATATATCTAACCGCTTGCCCGTCTCAACACTCAGCTTATCTGTAATCTGTTGAAACATGGCGCACTTTTTTTTCTCTCTCTAGCTCCCGTGGGAGGGCGGGGGGTTAAGGCACGTGTAGATATACAAGTGTACATCTAGATTTAAACTGTGTACATGTGTACACGCCATATGTATATCGTGTACATTAATTGACAGTATTATTGTTGTTATTGACTTGTTTGCCAATGTAAATTAAAGCTTATCATTTTGTTTTGGTATGTTTGCAGACAAAGTTTTAGTTTTTTAAAAACTTGTTTTTTTTTGTCATTGTTTAGTTCGTGTGTTGTGTGTAAATGATTGGGGTCGGGGAAGATAGGAGTGTGGTGTGAGAAAGTTGGGAGTGGGGGTGGGAGATGTAGATATGTGCAGGGGGAGGTGAATATGTGTGGGGAAGGTGGGAGTGTGGGGAAGTTGGGAGTGTGTGGGGAGGATGGACAAAATGGTAATGTGGGTTGGGAACAAAAGACTAAATGGGGAGAATAAATGAACTGAAATAGTATTGATGGAATTGATTTAATGGAGAGTATATAGTATAGACCATATAGACTTACATTCATGTTTTTGCGAGCGGTAGAACTGAATGCACTATAATGAACACAATATTGATGAAATGTGTTCGGAAAGTTTGTAAGTCTTCGGCGTTTGTTTTTACTAGTCGCATAAACCATTGTATATCACTTGACCCATCAATATATTATGTTTATAATGGTCTGTTGACTTCATCATTATATACCATCATTCAACTTTTTGGTTTACATGAGTGATTGTTGTGGATATTTACCTTTGTTAAAATATTTTTACTGTTTGTGTGGTGTGGTTGGGTTAATATTCACAACTTGTTTTTTTCTGAAATAAAATTAGCAGTCATCGTATGAAATTTCCTTCACCCATTTGTTTAAGATATGTATGTATGTATGCTTGAACAGTATGTATATTTAAACTTACGTTATCCTCTTTGTTAAAATGGATGAAAGTTTGTGGATATGATTGTATGGTGTATTTAATGATGTTGATTTTAATGTGTATTTACTTTACGATAATATGAATCCATATTGATACGATAAGCTTGGGATGAAATAAATATGTTTTAAATAACATGGTAATTGTTATCTTTTTCACTCACGGACTGTTTTAGACATTTTCTGTTGTTGTTCCAATAATGAATAACCTCATAGTGAAAGACCTTCAAAAGTGAACTGTGTAGTGAAACCTGAATGAGACACCCGAAATGAGAATAGCCGTACCAATAGACCGTATTGAGACATAAGAGAATAGCCGTACCAATAAACCCTACTGAGACATAAGAGAATAGCCGTACCAATAAACCCTACTGAGACATAAGAGAATAGCCGTACCAATAAACCCTACTGAGACATAAGAGAATAGCCGTACCAATAAACCCTACTGAGACATAAGAGAATAGCCGTACCAATAAACCCTACTGAGACACAAGAGAATAGCCGTACCCAGCAAGGCTCCCGAGACCTCCCAAACTCCGCCTAACATCGGACCATCGTCGTGAGTACTACCCCAGCTGTCCTTACTTTCCCTATCTGCGCGTGCACGCCAACTGCACGTGCAGCTGTAGCAACAGCACAAGGGTCAAGTAAGCGTGAGCACGGGGCGTTTATTTATAGCCTGTATCCACCTGTATCAGCCCCTGATATCTAGACTAGAATCTAATTGAATCAGACACAGATAATGATGGGCGGGTCTGGTTTTGATAAAGGTAGGCGCCGTGGGACTAGCTGCCTCCCAACAAGAAGGGTGACTTCACCAGACTGTCTTAGGAGAAAGCAAAATTTGCTCCTTAGGCTAATTACAGGTTCATTAGGTTTGTCTTTATTAATTATTTGCATTAGCAGAAGTTAGAGTGGTGGAACGATAGTTGGTGAAAAGAAAACTGTGAGCACTGAAGTTCGAATTCCGGTGAAAAAATCGTTTTTCTAATAATATATAGATTGTGAATGAGTGTATCTCTAATTGGCACTTTTATGCACTTAACGGTGTTCCAAGAAATTAAAAGTGGTTAGAAAATACTTATAAAATACTGGAGTTCGAATTCCAATAAAAAAATCGCATTTCTAATAGTATATAGATCGTGACTGGAGTCTATCACTGTCAGTTTAATGCATTTAATGGTATCTAAAGAAAATAAAAGTGACTAGAAAAATACTTATGGCCACACTGTTTATATCTAGCACGGATGTGTGTGCAGTTTATAGAAAGTACAGTAGTCTAAACACGCTTTATTAGTAACACAGTTCTTGATAAGGAGACGGTTGAAGCAGCGTGGTCGAGTAGGTAGTTTCTCTTCCCCCAGGAAACATCTGACTCGAATGACGTCAGACGTGTACCAGACAGCCACAGGGCCGACATAGTGCTAACAGCACACTCACTTAGAGTCTGCTGAGGTCAAGACATGAGGTAAATTCTACTTCAACTTTCTACTTCAACTTTCTACTTCAACTTTCTACTTCAACTTTCTACTTCAACTTTCTACTTCAACTTTCTACTTCAACTTTCTACTTCAACTTTCTACTTCAACGTTCTACTTCAACTTTCTACTTCAATTTTCTACTTCAACTTTCTACTTCAACTTTCTACTTCAACGTTCTACTTATCTAACATCTTGAATCAATTTTACTCTACAAACAAACCAAAATTGCTTCATTTAATAATTTCCGGTATATAAGGTTGCAAAAGTATTTTACAAAACATAAAAAATTTTTTTTTCTAGAAATAAAAAAAGCAAATGATTTTAAAGAAGCAGAAATCATAAAATAGTATTTTTTCCACTCCATTTCATTGCTAACCATGCATCAACAACAAAATGAAACGTAACCCAAAATTAAAAATACAAACATGTTTATGGCACGTCTAACTTTCATCACTGCTCAACATATACCCCCACATAAAAAATAAATAAATGCCAATCCTCAATTATAAGGTAGCAGACCAAATACACTTCTTTCGAGCAAAACAAACAACAAAAAAATGGCTTTGTTTATATCAGTTTCCATGGCAATAATACAAGGCATCAGGTTCCTGTGAGTGGGTGAAAACGAAATGTAAGCCTTTTAAAAATTACATTTTATTACATTTAACCAGTGTAATTATGTGTTGGGGATAAGTTATTCTAAAAACAAAAGGTATTAATGTTTTATTTTGATCCCGCCTAACTCAAAACACCGCGAACAACAGGTAAACTTAATGATAAATATAAATTAAAGGATAAGTGTGGTTTATGTTTTCTAATCTGAAGGTATCAATCAAAACTTGATTAGCTGGAAAGGTAGGGTGATGTCCATATTCGCTTGAACCTTTCACGTAAAGGATGTAGTTGTTGCTGAATAACAACTCGTTTCGTTAGGATTAAAAAAAAATCATGCTACCATCATGTATACTGTTTTAAATTCAAAACATTAAATTAAACAGGAACTACAGGTATGTTAAAATGTATTTTAAAACCTGCCGGAAACAAAACATAAATACAATTTAAACTTCTGAAATCGAAATAATACAAAAAATGTTAAGTGCAGTTTTAATTGTTTTTTATTTAAACATGTATTTTTCTACCAGATGTAATTTAAAAATTCGTGTCAAAAATTGTTGTGGTAGTCTTGGAGGCGATGATTTGACAACGTCCCTTCACCCCTTCACAGCATACAACCCCCCCCCCCCAAAAAAAAAAAACAAAAACAAAAAAAAAACGTCAAAAATTCAACAGGCGAGCCTCCATCACATCCGTGTAACACCAGCCTCGTTTTCAGACCTGACGTCCATGTACCACCCATGTACTGACGTTATCCAAACCATCTGAGAACGTCCCCTCACGCCCGTGACAGTGCCATTTATCAACATCCCGCATCTAGAGCAGGGATACGATCAGGAAAGTGAGTACTCCAATTCCCGAAAGTAGCCGTAATTTGCCGAAGTGTATCTGAACGTGTTTGAGAACGTGCAAGGCCGATAATCTTGTAATGAGTACACGTTGCATTGTGCACAAAAAAAAAAAAGAAAATTAAGTAGGCCTATTCTTTCGAACCTAGAGGTTCTTGGGCGATGCAAACGCAGAGTTCATGTACTTTTATTTAAGTAATTTGATAATATAATATAGGTCATTTAATTTTTAAAAGAAATAGAGTTTGGTTCTAGGGTTAGAGTATGTGGGACATCAAAGACCAAGTCAAACACCAACATCAAAGACCAAGTCAAACACCAACATCAAAGACCAAGTCAAACAGCAACATCAAAGACCAAGTCAAACACCAACATCAAAGACCAAGTCAAACACCAACATGAAAGACCAAGTCATACAGCAACATCAAAGACCAAGTCAAACAACAACATCAAAGACCACATAAACCAGCAACATCGAAGACCTAGTCATACAACAACATCAAAGACCAAGTCAAACCGCAACATCAAGGACAAAGTCAAACAACCACATCAAATGACCAAGTCACACAACCACATCAAAAGACCAAATCCAACAGGAGATAAAAGACCACTGTAAAGACCCCAAAAACCTTCTAGACAAAGTTTGCCGGCTCCCCTAAAACCGGTCCACGATTTACTACCGTGTGGACATCCCAGAGCCGGCAATCTCGGCTTCCACGGCCGGAAATAATTAAACCCCCGCACTAAACCACAACGATAAACCATTATGGCCCCATTAGACAACGTGGCTTCATTAACGATCCGCTTATTAATTTTGGGAGCTTCCAGCCCCACAATCGCTCCCAGAACGGTACTTTGGGTGCTTCCCTCATTAACTCCGTGATTTATGAGCGGGCGCGGCGTCCCTAGCAACCAACGTAAACACGGCTTTAGTGCCTTATTTGGTGGGTGTTTTCTGCATGGCAGGGACCGGGTTCATTGCTTGTTGATACCCGCTCGCAGTCAGCTCTATAATCGAGCAGAGCCATTTTATGAAACCTTTCATAAAAATAATGATCATCTAGTCCACGTCTATTTTCATGAATGTCTGTTTCAGAATTATAAAATTCCCGAGCACGAATATGCCAATTATTAACTCTGGAATAAAAAATCTGAGGGTTGACTAAAAAAAAATTCTATTATGTTACTGAATAATCAGAATTTCTAAATTGTTTCGTTTTTTTAAAGAAAATATTTTTTTTTAAAAATGAGGTAATTACCTCCCCCTGGAACAAGAGAAATAAGTCATTAGTTATTCGCCCCTGGACTGTATTACCCGCTCTCTACCCGTGGGTCACGTGTTTGCATCATCTTTTAAAAAAATCCTTTAATTTTCCCACCCCCGGGGTAAAAAGAGAACAAGGGTATGATGTCGGTCTTCGTTTCTTTCT